CACTACTGGTCAGAACTGCAGCCTGAGCAGCTCTGGAGGTGGATGTCCTCCTGATATTAAAAAGGGGCATTAAGGATGGCACTGCTATTTCCAAAGCAATGTAATTTGCTTATCACCCAGCCTGACATTCAAGCACCAAATCCACATGAAGGACTGCTCCAGATGCTTCCTGTGAGCACCACTGACTACAAAGAAACTCCACTTGCAGCTGCCCACTCTGAATATTTTAACCCTGTTTTAGGTTATGCAAGCTTGTTTCTTTCTCCACACATATTTATGAGATCCAAGGACCAAGCACAGTTTCACTCAGTCCTTCCTTTCCCACACAGAATTCCGGGCTGGTGTTGGTTGGGAGGGAGCTCAAAGCTCATCTGCCATGGGCAGGGATGGCACTGAGAGATGAGGCTGATCAGGGCCCCATCCAACCCTTTACCCCATCCCAAAGGATGCAGTTGGTTCTTGCAAGACACTCAAAGGAAGGGCTTTCACTGAGCTGCAGCTGTTCCACCAGCAGCACTGACATGTATCACCAAAAACTTCCAGAATCCCACAATGTTCTGAGTTGGAAGGGACACACAAGGATCAAACCCAGAGGCAAAGAATGTGACCCTTCCAGGACAGCTCTTAGGCACTGCTGGAACAGAATTGGGGCATTTAGGGCACAACAGTATTCTGAAATTCAAGGTTTGGCTTTTTCTTTTCTTACTGAACAAATGAATCTCCTTCCATTCAGAGGGTGGGGAGGCCCTGGCACAGGTTTCTCAGAGAAGCTGTGGCTGTCCCAGCTGGAAGTGTCCAAGGCCAGGTTGGACAGGGCTTGGAGCAACCCAGGACAGTGAATGGCATCCCTGCCATTGGAATGAGATGATCTTTAAGGTTCCTTGCAACACAAACCATTGTGTGCCTCAATGATTCACAGCAATATAAATATTTCAGAACCACCTAAAACTTTGCACCATATTAAGCAAAGCTGCCTTCAAAACCAGGAGCTGATGCTGTGAATTCTGAGGCATAACAGAGGATTAAGGATCTGACTCATCACTTATGCTCATCACTTATGCTCATCAGTTGCAACTCCAGTATTTTCAGAGGAGTTGTATCAGTTTTCAAAAGAGAGAGAGAGAAAAAAAGAAAAAAAAAGAAAAAACCTCAGGCCTGAAGTGCTCATCATGTCAACGAACACAGAGCCATCCTCACCCATACGTTTGCATAATTATCTCCTGCAGTTGCATCTCTGGCTTCTGATTTTCAAAAAAAAAAAAAGGCCTCTACTCCCATTCATCCTGATTCACAAACAAAATGTAATTCTTGTAAATGACTGCTCTCATCCCAGGGAAACGAGAGCCTCACTCTGCAGCAAGGAGGGAAATCAGGCTCTGAGCTGAGCCCCAGAGCCCCAGCATCAGCAGCTCTGTTTAGGGATGCAAAACAGCAGCTCTGGAATGCAGAGCTGTGCCACACGCCTTCGATCAAAATGGGGACAATTAATAAGAGCAGCCTGAAACTTCTGAAAATAAATCCGGCGTAATCAAATACTCACCGCTACACAAATTAGAGGAGGCAAGCTGAGAGCAGAATATCAACACATCGTTTCTTCAGGAGGCTTCAAGTTTCTCAGCTGTTAAAGAGCCCCAAACCCCGACTCACTGTTCTACACAAGCTGCTCTTCCACTTATTGTCTGAAATTCTCTGCTGATAAAATAATTTTAATGGATGCTGGCAGTGAGCAAACCCAGTCGTTTTGCCACTTGGGTGAGTAACTTACTCTGCTTTACATCTCTGGGAAAGAGAGAGAGAACTTGAGATTGATCTTACAAGGCAAAAATATAATATAAATGGCAATTATTGTCATAATCCAAGTCTTACAAAAGGGACTGACCTCTGACTAAGCACAGGGCTGGCAGCCAGATACTTCTGAATTCTACTCAAGGCACGCACTGATTCACGCTGACACCTTATCTGTCTAACCCTAACCTTCCCCACTTCCAAAATCTGGGTTTCCTGCTATTGTTGCAATTCTACAGCAACAAGGCAGGAATTCAAACTCTGTGCCTGGATTCAAGGGCAGAATGAGGGATCAGCAGGACTAACAAACACAGAGAAAAACTGGAGTGGCAGCTGAGTGCTGAACCAGGGCCCAAAGCCCAGACCTGTGCCAAGAGCAAGGAGGAGCTCTTGGGTTTGGGAGCCAGAGACTCAACTTTGGATATATAAACTCTGTAACAGCTCTCAAAGCAGGACTTGTGTGCTTTAGTTACAGTAAATCTCATGAACACACTGAAATAGTGTAATCCATGTGAAGAAACAGTAATTTAAAAAGTCATCAATAAAACTGAGACATGGGCCTGCGCTAGAGACCAGACTGACACATCCCTGGAAGTGTCCAAGGCCAGGCTGGATGGGGTTTGGAGCAACCTGGGACAGTGGGAGGTGTCCCTGCCCATGGCAGGGGTGGGACAGGATGAGCTTTAAGGCCCCTTCCAACTCAAACCCAAAACATTCTGTGATTCTACAATAATTCATAACTTTCAGCCATCAAGATTACAGGGTACAGTGCTGTCTTCTGCTTCCTCCATTTCATTTCAAAATTTTACCAATCCTCTATTAAAATGTAGGCAGAATCTCAGAACTCTTCTCCAATAATTCCGCCACCTGTGGTATGTAAACACTCCAATCACAAGATCCCTGTGAGGCAGGCAATAACACTGCACTAATTTTTGTGACCAAGAGCTCCCAGAGAGGGGCTGGACTATGGACAAGTCCAAATGACTCCTTCAAAGCCACTCAGGAATTTTGCAACAAGGCAGAACAAGAGCCTGGCCTAACTCTGAGTCTCTTCTCACCACACACACAGGGTCCATCTGTAGCATCACACACAGAGTGCAGGACAACTTCCAAGCAAAGCCATCACCAGGATTTCCACCACCTCTTCCATACATGAAGAAAAAGAGACATTCTGAAGTATTTCAGGACCTTCATTCTCCTTCAGGACCTATCACCAGCACTAACAACTAAAACACTTCCTTAAAAGAGAAATTAATCACTTCAGAAAACTAAAATCCAAACCTAGAAAACAGCTGAACCTCACCTACCTCTCTGCTTTTGTGCTTAACTACAAAGCAAATTATGTTCCACTAGAAAAACAGTTTGCAAGTGCAGTATTACTGGCACAGCCTTAGTGAAGACAGAAATTACACTTGGAGAACTCAGGAACAGATAACAGCGTCTCCTTGAAGAAAATAAATCATAACAGCAAAAACCATGGGCTTCTGGCCACTGCTGCTTCCATACTGGAGTTTTATTTTAGTTAAAAGCACTTCAGAAAGAAATTAATATCCTAATTAATGCTCTTAATTAAGCAACAAACATGTCTTTGTGTAACCCAGACCCAAACCAGCGAAATTTCCTACATGACAGACAAGACCAAGTCTACATTCCACATTGCCAAGGCCACCACTAACCCATGTCCCCAAGTGTCACATCCACACAGCTTTTAAATCCCTCCAGGGAAGGGAATCCCCCACTTCCCTGGGCAGCTGTACCAAACCCTTTTGAGGAAAAAAAACATTCAACGAGAATTTTTTTTAGGTCACTTTTGCTATGAAATAATGAATTAACTCATCTGGTTTATCTTAAAGTGAAACCAAGGACCCAGGCAGAACATTGTTTCAGTTAAAGGAGCTAAAAAAGCCAAATTATCGCTCCCAGAGTCACTCACTATTTACACAATACCTTGTCACTGAAGACAAAAGGAGAAAATCAGCTGAGTTTTCTGTTACCTGAGTTTAATTAACCTGTTCTGCGTCACATTTCGAGGACACTGCACAGGCACAGCTCAGCCTGTGGTGATTTTCTGAGGCACCCTAAGTCCAGTGCCTGCTCTTCAATCTGGGCTGACTTGGTAGAGTTCAGAATCTTGTTCCTTTCTTCCTGCTGTTTTTCCCAAATGATGACAAGGCTTCAATCCAGTCCTTCTCCATCTGCATTATTCACCCTGATTTTCTTTTATTCACTCCCCAGCCTCCCCTGCCACTGCTGGCAGTTAAATTCATGAGCACTGGCCTGGTCATCCAGGTAAATTTGAAGTGATGACAGTGAAACTGTCTGGTTCTATCAGAAATCATACTTTGAGGGATGTAAAACATACTGATAGTTGTAACTCACTATTAACACATATTAATTAATCAATATGGACTACAAAGCTCAAGTAATTACTCCCATTTTTATGGGGAGCCAATAGAGATAAAGTTGTTGGCTACAGGACAGTTTGAGATGAATTCTTAAATCCTGAGAGGCCAAGATCAAGAGTTCTGGGTTCACACCACACCTCAAATCCCCTCCAGCACTGACTCTCATCCTACTAAGGGTAAAATGAGGCAGTGAAATGGTAACTTGCACCCAGGTAACTCCTACTCTTAGGAGTAACCCAACTACTCTCTTAACATAGCAGTTCTGTAACTCTTCAATCTTAATTTTAATCACTATTTAAATTCAAACTTTTAAATTTTTTAAGGCTCCATTTTCTTCTTTCCCCTTCACAATCCCATTTACACTTTTTTAAAGATATCTGTGGTTTAATCTGGAAACTTTCTATCTAAATGGGTCATCTTGGCCTATTTCCTCTAATTTAACACTCTCTAATCCCCTCCAAATGAATTCCCCCCAGTTTTCCCTCAGTCAAAAATGATTCCCCTCTACTTCTACAGCATCTTCCATGGCCATACTGACTGCACATAAACTGGAATAAATCAAGGAAGCTGCTACTGCTCTGCTGAGAGGTGGCAGCAGAAAACTGCACAGGGGCAGAACATGACTGAAATTGAGCTAAAGCACAGGAAATTCAAGCTATGCAATTCCCAGGCTGGAAATTTCTGACCAAAGCCTGACACAAAGCTGTGAGATGTCCTTGTGCTCACTCCAAGCACAGAGCAGCTCTGAGGTCACCCAGCAAACTCCAAATTACTGGGATAACAAAGATGCCCAGGGTGATGTGGCCTTACCTTCAGACTTCTCTCCTGCTGTGAACCAGATCTTTACAATTTCAAGTGGTGATTTTAATACTGAACTCCAACATACTTCCACAGCTAAAAGGAAGAAGAGGAGGGGGCTCAAGGGACTGGCAGCAAAGTAGGAAACCACCAGCAACAGAAAACCACTAATTAATGGCTTTTTGAAATCCATTGGAGTTTGGTTTCCAACACTAAATCCCTGTCAATCACTATTTTTTGCTGTGACTTCTTCTACAGAAGGTTGTGGCTGCACTGTCACTGTCACTATCCCTGCCCAAGGATACATGTTCATCCTTGAAATAATCCATCAAGGAAAATGTCATGGTAGTTCCTTGCTACCTATCCTGCAGAAAAGGTTTCTCTTTCCAGACCTGACAGAAGGAACAATCTGAAATCAAGAGGTCCAAGTATCTCAGGAATCTGATGGCAGGGGATGAGCATTTGGTTGTGCCTGTACCAGGGATATTGTGAACAGCCATGCAGGACTGGCCAGTGCAGGTCAAGCCCTTCCTTTCAGCCTGACAAGCTTCAAAATTTGAATTAATTTGCTTATTTATTGAAGAAACAGCACGGAAACCAATGAAATTGAAGAGATATGACAGAACTGATTTGAAATTCCACAATGAGATTTGGACAATTGGCACTGAGGATACTTGAGTTGCTTGGACCAACACATCCAGGATTAGGTGAGGTGCCCCAGGTTTTCTGTCTCTGCCAGAGGCTACTAAATTGAAGGTGGCTCATCCCTTTCAGCAAGTCTAGAAATTTGAATTAATGGTGTGAAACTCTTTATCCCTCTCATCTGTTCAGTTGCTGTATGGAGATCTCTCCTTTAACACTGATTTTTCTCCGATCAAGACTGATTTTCTACGAACTGCATCATTTTCCTTCTGTTTTGGTGACAGAAATGCAGAAGCACAAACAATACATGAGCCAGACCAAGTGAGCAATTCAAAGTTTCTACTCCCTAATTTAAATGTCCAGTTATTTTACTATTTCTGGTTTAAATGTCTTCCCTGGTTTAAATCTTCCACTAAACCAGTGAAACTCTCTGACTCAGCCAACTGCTCATAATCACTGTAACACTTCTCTGCTTTTTTTAGACAATTTAACAGAAGAACACCACAAAATTACTCTTAATTGTTATGAGTTTCTTCAGCTTGTACTTACACTACTGGAAAAGTTCTAAGCATACTTTACATGAGGATGGGACGTTACAAAGCCTCTTGAGGGTCTTCAGTGTTATTCACCATTCTGGAAGACACAAGAAAAAGATCCAAGAACATTAGAGAGGTTTGGGAGAGGCAAAGGGATCCAATCACATCATTCTGGATAATCTGTCACTAACCCAGACTCACAGACTTCAATGATTCTTATGGAGAAAGTTGATGTCTGGTGTTGTAATCAGTCCAGAGACAAAAATTTAAATTACAATTGATTTCTTTCGACCACAAGTAAATTAATCTATGCAATCATTTAGCCTTATGACAGTTACCTACCCTTTTAACTCACAAAAGCTATTAAAAGGATTATTTGGCCAACATCCTCAAAGAGCTCAGGAGACAGGTACTGTGTTCTGAGGAGGAATGACCTAATAGAATTTTCCTCAGCTATCACTGCTGATGTCTTTCTCCACAAACTAACACGGACTGAAAGTGCTCCAAAAGTCACACTATTAACCAAGAGGGAAGAGAAAAGCAGGATGTTATATCCAGGCAGAGCTGGGATAGAAAATGAGTGGATACAGCAGCACAGGGAGATGCAGGGGATAATTTTCTTCTGCTCCATCTGTAACATCAGCAATTGTGGATTGCTAATCCATGGAGAGCAGCCATGGATGGACAGATCTTGGCTGTTCTCAGTGGTTAAAAGTGGTCCAGACATTAGAGAATGACTGTTCCTCCCTCAACACCTGCTGAAGATGTTGGGGAAGAACTGCACCTCTCCCAGATGGAGCCCACTGGGCACACAGGGATGCAGAGATGGTTCGGCTGGAAAAGTCCTCTAAGATCACAGAACCCCAGAATGGTTTGGGTTGGAAGGGACCTTAAAGATCATCCTGTCCCTCCCCCTGCCATGGACAGGAACATCCTCCACTATCCCAGGTTGCTCCAAGCCCCATCCAACCCGGGCTTGGACACTTCCAGGGATCCAGGGGCAGCCACAGCTTCTCTGGGAAACGTCTGTCAGGGCCTCCCCACCCTCACAGGGAACAATTCCTTCCCAATATCCCATCCATTCCCTGTGTCCTGTCCCTCCATCCCTTGTCCCAGTCCCTCTCCAGCTCTCCTGAGCCCCTTTAGGCCCTGCAAGGGGCTCTGAGCTCTCCCTGGAGCCTTCTCCAGGCTGAACATTCCCAGCTCTCCCAGTCTGGCTCCAGAGGGGATCCAGAACACAGAGCAGCTCCGTGGCCTCCTCTGGTTTCACTCCAACAGCTCCACACCTTCCCATGACTTTCTTCATGCTGAGGACCCCAGAGCTGGACAAAGAATTCTACCTGAGGTCTCCCAAAGCAGAGGTCTCACAGAGCACAGGAGGAAAATCCCCTCCATCAAGACCATCAAGTCAAATTGTTACCCCAGCACTCCCACGTGTCACATCCACATGGCTGCTAAATCCCTCCAGAGATGGTGATATCATCTCCTCATGGTTTTTTCCCCCTTTATTCCTCCATAAAGAACCTCATGAACTTTCAGGACCAAAGTTTGGGCTGAATGAGCTTTCCCAGAAGTGGAAGCACTCAGCTTTTGACCACCAGCTTTCCTGGGAGGTTCAAGCCTGTCCATAAGAGCCTTCTCCCACCCAGCTGTGGCCAGGGAAAGCTCTGGGTGTTTCCAGGGAGGGGAGGGGCTGAGGGTTGGCTGCTGCTCTTCCAGAACAACCCACCTGGCCCACGCTGAGGGCCTGAGCTGCCTCTTTCTCTCCAGGAATGAGGTGACCAAGATGAATGGTCCCAGCAGACCCCCAGAGGCCACGTCCAGAGAGAATCACTGACACCCAACCACTGAGGGATGGAAGAGCCCAACACCCAGGTCCCTCCCTGTCAGCCACCCCAAACCTTTCAGAGACACTCCCCCACCAAACCCCTCCTCTGTCCAATCTCTTAACTGCATTTTAAACATATTCCCCCCGAGGCAGTCACAAAAAACATGAGATCATGCTGCTGACTTCTTGCCAAATTTTAATACAGAGAGCTGTTTTGTTTTCCAAAGAGGAACAAATTAGACTTGAATATATACAAACTTTCTGAAGGTCAGAGGGGCTCATGATAAAGAACTGGATTCCTCAGAGAAAGATCTGCTTCCAGGGTGAGGGGTATGGATGTAGCAAAGAAGAAAACCCAGAAAGGAAAAAAAAAATCACCTTCCATCATCATGAAATGCAGGATTAAAAGTAGAACATGAAGAGATGAGATAAGAGAAGCAAAGAAAAGGCTGCTGTAAGTCAGGTTTTGAGATGACAAAGGCAGGAGGATGATATTAGTGATAGCAATGAAAGAGGAAAAAGCTGGTATGGACCTCAGATGTTTTAAGAGAAGAGCCATTAGGATCCAGACCAAATTTGGGACGTGATTAGAGGAGGAAGATGAGCTTTTCCAAGAGACTGCAGATCTGGGAGTGCAGACAGAGGACGACAGCATTTCACCAGAAATAAACAGCAGCAAATCCATGAGAAAATAGAGATAATTCTCTGGTTTTTCAACATTTAAGTGTCAAGCAGGTTTACTACACTCAGAATTCAACCACAGATGAAGCAAGGAAGGACAGGAGGGCTCAGGTCTGCCTTGGGAGCAGGGCTGGTGAAAGCAAGCCCAGCTCCAGAGAAAGGAGAGGAAGCTGGTGCTTCCTCCGGCCGCTGCCAGCCCCAGCGGCCGCTATTGAAAAGGGGCACAAACAGTCTTTGACTCCACGTTGGTCTAAAGTTCAGTGGCACAGAAATACCTTCCCCACCCCCAGACACATGTGAGAAGTTGCTTCAATGCTTTTGTAGCTTAAGGGCACATCAGGCAGGGAACAAGCAAAGCCTTCACCTAAAATCGGAGTCAAAACAATTCAATCCTGACCAACATAAATTCCATCAGCAACAAATCCTGACTCTGAATCGTGAGTCGATATCCCTCTTTCCCTCAGCCTCCTTTTAGCACCAAAGCACTCTGAGGCAGGTGTCACCACTCTTTGTGGTGATATGGGAGTAAGAACTCACAAACCTTTGCCCTTTTCGCATTATTCATTAAATAAATTATCTGCTAAGCCAGGGAAAACACAACCAGCTCCCCTTCCTATTTCTGGTTGAGACAATAAAAAAGAAACAGTCACTATTAATATGGAAATCATGGCTGCAGTTGTAGAATCAGATGTAATGAACAATCTTGTGCCCAGCTTAAGTTGCTATAAAGGCAGCTTAAATTTACAATGGATGAGTCTTCATGGCAATCTGTTTTTCAGATATTAAAAATCTCATTTTCTCAGTGCCAAGGACAAGTGGAAGTGTGAAGCACTGGAGTATCAACTCTGCATTTGTCTCACTTGACATGAAATCATTCTCATTTTAGTTCTGATTTTTAATACATTCTTGGGATCCCCTTCAGTTTTCTTCATTTCTCACTGTGTGCAATTAAATGTTTTGAAGTAGAGTTCACCCTGATCCACAACACCCAGCAGAAGCAAGGAGAAAGTCACTTGGTAAAGATGAGGCTGATATCACTTACTTGGGAAGAGAAACTAATTTTCTCTTTTAATTTCTGAGTGACTCACACAGCATAAAAATTTTTTTTAAAAAGCCATCACTTCGTACTTCACTAATACCTTCCTTGGTGAGTTCTTAAAATGAGATTTACAAATAACAAACTAAAAGCTTTTGTCCTTGGGGAAGACAAACATCAACATTTTGACCTAAGTGAAACATGAACAGAGGGGCTGAATTCTTGGCTTAAAGCCGCCCAGGGCAGTGTCAGTGGCTGAACACAGCAGAGGCCACGGCACTGCAATTGTCACACCACTCCTGAAATGCAGAACCACCAAGAAATTCAGCCCTGAGAACAAAGTTCTACCACTGCTGAACATGCAGCAAAGGCATATCCCCAACTCCATGCATAATTATAAACCAATACTCTCCTAGAAACAGCAAAAATTTTAAAATTTAGGCCTTTTACTCAATGTACAGCTTAAGGTCTGTAGAAATTGTGAGGTCTTCTGGGCAGACCCTGTGCACACGTGTGTACACAGGTCCATGAAGATGTGTTGGGGAGGTTCAGGCTGGACATCAGGAGGAATTTCTTCATGGAAAGGGTTGTTAAACATTGGAATGGGCGCAGGGAGGTGCTGGAGGTGCCCAAGGCACAACTGGATGCCTCACTCAATGCTTTAGTCTGGGTGACAAGCATCTGCCAAAGGTGGGAATCATTCCAACTGGATGATTTTGGAGGTATTTTCCAATCTTAATGATTTTGGATTCAACAGGCTTCTCTACATTGAGGCCAGTGTGAAGTAAAGCTGTTACCTGGTTTAACTTCTGTCCCAGGACATCCTGCCTCAAAACCAGCAAGAGACCAAGGATCCGTCCACTCCAGTTCATTCTGGTGATTAATCACCGTCTCCACTACAAATTCATACTTGATTTCTACTTTGAATGTGTCTGGCTTCACATTCCAGACAGCTCTCCTCTGCCAGCTCCAAGTCCTTTATTCCTGGGAGATGTTCAGACAGGCTCTTATTTACCCAGTGCTTTTCAAAGTCCAGGTACTGCATTTGTATCAAAACTCAAATTCTTCTGGGTACACGCACAAAAGTAGGACTAATGTCCAAAATACTGGAGCTAATCTAGGACTCTCTAGCCCATTTTCCCAAAATAGGCATATTAGGAAAAATAAAATTTAAAAAAAGCTCTGCCATATGACTCAAGGATGTGTTTTATTTGTGCCCTGGGAAGCAAGGCCAGGAACCTTCTCCAGGCACTGCCACCTCCTGAGCACACCCCACGGCTTGGTGACGTGCAGCATCCAGTTCCACGTGGAAATCCTTTTATCCAAGCTCCCTGCTCGAGCAGGGACACCAAAACCAGTTGTTCGGGACCATGTCCTGAGTATCTTCAAAATTTAAGACTTCATTCTCTCTGAGCAACCTGCGTCAGTGAGCGGAAACACTTTTTGTGAACACAAAAAATCCTTGGAAAAAATGCTCAGAAGTCACCTCCAGCCGCTGCTATTTTCATTCTTATTGTGACTGTGTTGTTTACCAAACCTTTCACAGTACAAC